AACTGCAATCCACTTTCTTTCAGGTTTCACATTTTTAAAAAAAAGAAAGTAAAAAGTTTATATATAAACGTTTAACATTTGTTTGTGTCTTTTACGTTAACACGTCAGAACTGAATTATAAGAACTAGAATTATAAAAAATTTTATTCAAGTTGTTTTAACAAGAGTGCCAAAAAAAAATCAATATTGTCGCACAAGAAATAAATACTAAGATTGAAATTAAAATCAAAACTACAATTACAATATGAGTAAACCTATTAATGTATATTCCATCCCTGAGTTACGTCAGACTTTAGATGAGGCTCTTTCACCAACTTTAAAAAGATTGGGCTACATTGAATCTCACCATTTGACTGATTTGAAATTAGCTATTGGTTATTCCATTACGCTAACCGCTGCAACTAGTTTCTATTTAGATAAGAAATTTTCATATAGTGAATCTTTGGTTTATCAAAAAATACTAGTAGCTGCTTACTTTATCTTATCAGTGATATTCTGGTGGTTTAATAAATTTATTCAAAATGATATTAGCTATGTAGGAGAAAATAAAAATAAGAAAGAAAAATTAGTATTGAAGACTAAATTCATTGATAATGATCCTATTTATAAAATTAACATTCATTTGAACGATAAAATTGTGGACACCGAATTACCTGTAAACAAAGTTTTTAATGAAGCTGGTTATCTACAATCAAATTTATTTTATGATTGGCTAAATCAACAATTGAATTCATTTACCTCAAAATCAGAATGATCATATATTTTGTTATTTTTTTGAAGTTAGGGTCTCACTCAATATTTAAAATACTAATCTTAGGACTTTAATTCATTCACTCCCTTAATTTTATTTTTTCCTTAGATTCTGCCTTCTAGTCTATCTTTTCTTCCATTTTTATTCTATTTTGCATTCAAGAAAGAGTTCCCTCCAATATTAAAAAATTTAATTGAAGCTAATAATCAATTCTTTTAACGTCATTTTACGATTCTTTATTTAAGTTCGATAATTCTTAAATATTTTTACATATAAATATTAATACACATACAATTATACAATAGATAATAAGTCGATTCGGATTTTCTATGTCCTTATATATATCTACATAAATATAGAGAGATGGATAGAGGAGGGTTTGGGTTACATAAGTTTCGTTCATTAAAATAGCAAACATTAAAAAGCTTATATAAATATATAAGTTGTGTGAATTATCAATCACTCGTCAGGTAAGCATGCATCCATTCCAGAAAATTTTCTAACAAAAACTTGTAAGCCAAATGGTAATGACATTAAAATATGTGCAAAATTTGAATAATATGGAGCACATAACTTACCACGCTCACCATTTTCACATTTAGTTATAATTACTTCAGACAATCTTTCAACATTGATAACTGGTGCAAAGAATTGTTTTGGCGGTTCAAATCCTGTGAACATTTGAGTGTTTAATTGTCCTGGTATAACTAGTAATGATCGTATGTTTGTAATTTTTTTTATTTCCATTTCATTTTGATATGATTCATGAAGTGAAATTAAGGCGGCTTTACTAGCTGCATATCCTGCAACCTTGGCAGGGCCAAGGATACCTAACGTGCTTGCAATATTAATAATATAGCATTGTTGATCTGGTTTATTGACAGGAGAAAACTCCTTCACTATTTTTAAAGGTACCATAGTATTAATTTGTAAAATGTTCTTGATTGATTCCAGATCTACATCATCAAGAAATCTATATTTGCTTCTCATACCAGCGTTATTAATTATAACATTGATACCTGAATTTTCAGTACACTGTTCCATTTTAATGTTGTCCAAAGTTTCTTGTACCGCAACTTCATTTGTAAGGTCACATACATAATTAACAATTCTTGGATCTTCTAGTTTTGAAGGTACTATATCTATATTAATTATTGTGACATTATCAGCCCTTTCTAATACTTTTTTCATAATAGTTTCACCTAATCCATTACTACCACCGGTAATCAAAATTTTGAGATTCTGCATTTCATTAAATCTATACCATCTTTCACCTCTAAGTTTTGTCCAGGTGTTTATTATTCCACCAAATCTGATAATTATTGAATACAGTAAAAGATTCATATATAAAGGTAAATTATCATAAAACCTCATAAATGGTAAAAATAATAAAATTGGATATTTTAAAATGGGTATAATGACCCAATCAATGACATCGTCGATATTCATAGTTGTGTATATTGTTGTTTAGTAGTGAGTTGAATTGTATTATAATTGTTCTCTTTATAATACATACTTGAACTATCTTTTCTAATGTGATCTTCATGCTTTTTATATACGGAACGACTTTTTCAAATTATTTCCATCATATCCTTAAAGTTAAGTTTCCTGACTACAAGATCGCTATACAAAATAAAACAACATCTGACGTTTGTATGAAGTACCATGATATATTTGGTCATTATATGTAACGTGTTTTAAATACTAGGGAGGGGCATTATATTTTATACTAAGAATATATATATGTATGCTTGTGTAAGTGATTTACACTATTGGGCATCATCAGGTCTGAATTCAGTGAATGCTAAATGCTTATAGACTGATTGTGATAATTCATCATGTGGAACGCTGACACTTCTGTATTTCAATGCGGATAAATCCAACAAATCTTCGTTTAAGTCCTTTACGGATGTAACACCTAACAATCTCATTGACATCTCCAGTTCTTCTCTTAATATATCTACTGCCCGTTGAACACCGGCAGCACCATAACAGGAGTTGACATATTTATCGATGGTGGTGTTCGTCGTGGTACTGATATTCTCAAAGCCTTA